ACCACACACACATACACCATTTTTATTTTTTGGGCCATTACCCTACACCCTTTATTGCTGCCAAAACCACATGGGCAGGGGGCCAGGGCTGGATGGACAACTCCCCCTACCCATACATACCCTTCCTGTGTGTGGTTGGAAAACTTTTTTGTTTTTTGGGTTTTTTTTTCTGAATAAAAAAAGATTCTACTAACAAGGTACTGTGTGGTTTTAGCCTGGGTGTCAGGATGGAGGCCAGTCACCAACCTGCCTTCATCCTGGTTTGGGGGTAGAAAAGGGTGAGGCACTACAAAGTCTAGGAATTTGAGCTTCTTGCTTTCATGCCCAGGATTAAACATCTGCTTCAGGCCTACCTGGCCAGATGGCCCAGCCCTTCCACAATGACATATCCAGCCCTAGGTCCTCAGTGTGCTAGCTGAATTGGTGGATAATGGAACAGAGCCATCCAGACCAGAGAATGGGTCCAGGCCTGCGGGCAAGGCAGGGCCAGTTGAGTCATCATGTGGGTGGGGCTCCCCCTCTGAGTCACAACAAATGCCCGCTGGGGCTACCCCTGTGACTGCAGGTTGGCCTCTCAGCACTCCCCTGCCCCTTTATAGCAGAATGGGGCAGTTTCCCCCAAAGGATACGAAGTTCATCTGTGTGAGAATGATCTCACCCTTAGTCCACAAAAACAATTTTATTAACCCAGTAAGTGAAGACCCCCATCCCTCTGCACCAACCCCCTCAAAAGGATGGAGTTCCTATCTCCACACAGAAGCCTGGAGAGAGGAAGTGGGGCTGTGCAAATAGGTCACAAGAGGAGGGGGGAGGCGGGAAAAAGAGTGTTAGACCAGGATGACAGCTGAAGAGGAGGTAGAGGGTGAGGGGTCTGCTGAAGGCCCAGGAAAAGCCAGGGGGGCCGGGGCTAGGGAGCCGAAGGAGGTGGGAAGTGTAGGGCTGGAGGCCAGCAGTGGGGTCCGTTCCGAGGCAGGGTGATCCCTTGGCTCCCCTTCCTCATCACCCTCTTGACCCTGGGTTTCTTCCTCCTGCTCCTCATCCCCAGGACCCCGGTGAACAGGTTGCTTACAGATGGGGCAGGTCTTCCGGGTCTGAGTGAGCCAGGGGTCCACACAGCGGCTGTGATAAGCTGCCAAGAGGGATGAGGTGAAGCACCTGGTGCCTGCTGGTGGGGTAGGGGCATGGGCACAGGAAGTGAGACCTCACCATGAGCACAGGGGAGGACCCTCAGCTTGTCCCCATCCTCATATTCATCCAGGCAGATGGCACAGACATCATACTGGTCTCCTGGTGGAGGAAGAAAGGAGTCCTTTTACTGAGCTGCCCTGGACAGGGCCCACAAGAGCTCACTCCGGGAGGCCTGTGGTGGAGCTATGCCCTGCCGAAGTTACTTTCTCTGGTTCTACAGAGCCAGGGGAAGAGCTCAGACGGGAGCAGGGTAAGGCCAGGGTAGAACATGAGGAATCTGGGGTTTGAAGACACAAGTAAAGAGAAGCAGAGGTAAGAAGGGAAGTGGGTTTTTGGGGGGTGTGAGGGTAGAGAGAGGGAGTGGGAGGAGCGGAAGTGGGAGGCAGGGCTTCTGCGACAGCCTTATATGGGCACTGGAGGCTCCAGAGCCTAAAGGCCCAGCCCCTCCTCACCTGTGTCTTCCTCCTCAGCCAGAATCGTCCCCACTCCTTTCGTCTTTCTGCTTTCTCCACCTTCTCTCTTATAAGCAAGGTCCTCCATCTTTTCCCCCAACTACTCCATTTAATCATCTTTGCTTTCCATGTCCCACTCTAATCCTGTCTTCTCATTGTGTGGGTAAAAAGAGGAGAAAGGTGGCATCTGGGCTGACACCTTCTCCCCGCCATCATTGGCCCGTATTTTCTGGGCTCCAACTCCTTCAGAACTAGGTAAACTGTGGGAAGGGCCCTCCCTACCCCATCCCCCTCACCCTTCTGATAGTCATGTGTAGGAATCTGTTTCAGTTGCTCTTTGGTCAGTCGATTCCGCTGGAGCCGTTTCCGGTGCTGGACACAACGAACTATCTGGTGAAAGGGGGAGTGGCTGGGTCAGTCTGAGAGAACAAAGCTGGACAATCCAGTACCAACCATCCCAATCTTGCAACCCCAGATTCAGTCTGGCTTCACAGGCCGCAGCTCTTCCCATCTTGGTCCGTGAGCTACTCACCATCACTACGCCCATGGCCAAAACCAGCAGTCCCACAATCCCTGTGAAAGGGATGAGGTAATAGCCCAAGGGGAAGCTATTGTCTGGGACCAGGAGCACCCGAGCCCTGGGAAAAGGAAGACCAGTTTCAGAGGGGCGGGAATGGCAAAAGGGACAAACGAAGAGGGACAAAGTAACTGGCTCTGGACAGGGCCAATGGACGGGGAGGGGGTGGGAAGAAAATCAAGAAGCAGAGTATGAAGGGCCTGAGGTCAAACGGCTGGGGCACTGTGGCTTGGGCTCCAGGTTGGCATGGACATGCCAAAGGAGGAGTGGCGATGAGGGACACATCCTACCCTTTGTCGTAGACAAAGAGGGCACGCAGGTACTCGGAGCTCCTCTCCCCAATAAACACAGACGGGATCCAGATCTGCTGCTGTATTTCCTCTGCAGGGATCAGGGCATTACACTGCGGACCTGACCTTTCACGAGAATCCTTCCATAACCCTGGCATTTGGCTCTCTTGCCCTACCCCCCCCAAAGGATTAACTTCTTTTCCCTAATGCTTCAGCCCTCCCACCACCTCAGTCCAAGGTCAACTGAGAACCCAGTCGTCCAGGTCCCCTAGCCTTACCACTGTTCCACACCATGTTCAGAAGTTCATTGGAGTTCACGTTGTGTACTACAGCGGCACCATACCCAGCCTTCTGCGCATTGAGGACCTAGGGAGATAAGGCAGATAAGGAGCCATCATAGGCCTTGCCACCCTTCATTCCTGGTGCTTTTTTTTACCCTCAATCTCCCGGCTCCCACTCCACATTCAGCAACCTTGAGGTCAAAGTTGCAGTCGAATCTTCGAAGCAGTGCAATAAAGACTGACCCGTTGACCGGGGCTGGGGGTGGTGGGGCAATGGGGCTGCAGGCATTGTCTGGGTGAGCCTCCACAAGGAAGCCCTGGGGAAGAGAAGCAAACAACAGTTGGATTTTATCTCCCTAGGTTCTGCTCCCCACAGGCCAAGCACACTGGTCCCCATATGCTCCATGTCCAAAAGACACTTCCTTCTCCTTCCTGGAATCTGAGCACGCCACCCAAGTCAGAAGTCTACCTCTTCTCTTAGCCTCTTGAAGTTGCAATTATATCAAACGTCATCCCTTTACCAGAACTCGAGCATCCCTCTCCCTTTCCCAGATGAGCTAACCTATACCCCATACTCGAAGCTACTTCAAATTCTCCTGCCTTCCAGTTTCCCACTGATTGTAATTCAATTCTCCATTCATCCTTGTCACACTTTCTCAAGTTGTCTCACATTCCCTTCTCTGGTCTGTACTCTAACAGAACATATACCCTCTGTTTAAAAAAAACAAACAAACCCCAAATCGGGTGAAGGTACAGTATAGCTCAGTGGTAAAGTGCATGCTTAGCATGCAGGAGGTCTTGGGTTCACTCCCCAGTACCTCCATTAAAAAAAAAAGCCCCACGTCACCAAACTTAATACTTAATTATAATTTCAGCCTCCTCCAGGAATGGAATCGTAAACCAGTCTATCTGGAATTACCTGGTCAACACTAGCAAGGTAATCTGCCTGGTAGACCCCTGCTGTCCCCTAAAGAAAGGTGATCTTGCCACAATCAGCTCTTTGCTGGTACAACTTCTTTGTCCAGCCCCTTTCTGCCTGTAAGTCTTTCATTTTGTATAGTTCTTCACAGATCCTTTCTATCTGCTAGGTGGGATGCTGCCCGATTAATGAATTGTTGAATAAAAGCCAGTAAGATATTTAAGATTCACTCAGTTGAATTCTTCCAATTACCCATATCTTTAAATTGAAGTACAATGTTGTGCCAGTTTCTGGTGCACAGCAGAATGCTTCAGTCATACATGAATACACATATATTCGTTTTCCTATTTTTCATCGTAAGCTACTACAAGATATCAAACAATTCCCTGTACTATACATATAAACTTGATTATCCCATTACCCATCTTACAAACAACTATACTGACATCTATGGCCCAAGTGAGTTCTTGTTATGAGCAGTCTTTGTGATGAAGTACTGCAAAACTGCTTATCTAATTTAATCCTCACAATAACCCTGCCGTACATAAATTTCACTGTTACTCTATTTTACAGTAAAACCAACTAAGGCTCAGAGGAATAATTAATTTGTCTAAGTTCATAAAACCAGTAACTGGCTCTAGGGATCCTACTGATAAACACCACTTTCTATGAGTAAACTTTGTCTTCTCCCGCAAGATTCTGGATTCCACCACACTAGATGTGCTCCTCCATTTAGTACCTAATTTGACTCTTCCTACCTCCTGCTTCACCCAAGAAAAGCTCCTCAACCCCTACCCAGGAGGGAGAATTTAGGGAAATAAGAAAAAGGAGGGGAAAATCACCTGAAGTCCCTCCTGGCTCAAGGCAGCCCCAAAGAGAGCTGGAAGGTCTGCAAAATCCATGCTGGCATTGTGGTCCGAGATCTGCGGACAAGAGTCCATGTTTCCTCGTCAGCCTGCAACCTCTCCCTTCAGCGCCCTTCCCCCATCTGCCCCTCAGACTCACCGCTCGAATGAGCCCCCGGCTAGGGGCCGCTCCCCACAGCACAGCGGCCACAACCACAGGAAGCGGGAAGGCCGCAGGGTGCATGGCAGCGAGACCAGAGAGGCGCAGGAGGCCGCTTCCTGACAGCAGGAGCAGAAGCCGAATTCCGTGCCCTCTCTGGTCCTCCTCCAGGATCCCAGGGGTCCAAACACCCCCAGGTCCCACCTCCCAGCTACATGGGGGCGCGGGGAAGGACCCCGGACTCGGGGAGTGAGATATCCAACCCGTTTAGTGGAGCTGGGAGGGAGACACTAACTATATCCTTCTCTGGTATACGAATAAAACGGAGAAAGAGAACGGAGGCAAGCACAGGTGACAGAAAAACTTCTGGAAGGGTGGGGGAGCTCAAGGAGGTGGGACTTCCGGCCAGGTGGGCCGTCTTCCCATCCCCTGGAAAAGGGTTTCCGGCAAAGAAAGTCAGGCCGCTTCCAACATAGGACGCTCAAGATGAAGGACTTCCGGTCCTAAAAGGCCAGTTAAAAGAAGGTTTAGAGGTGCAGGAAGTGCCTGTGGAGATGGAAGGAGCACGGAAGCTCCAGAACACTACTAAGTCGTTCCCCCTCTAGTGCCCGAGATCCCACAGCTACGGAATTTACAAACCTCTTTTCCTCCCTCTGGCCGCCGCCGCGGTACCTTCAAGTCTCGCGAGAGTCCTCACCACCCTTCCCTCCCACCTGCTGAAATCTCCCTGTATCTATCGCGAAAGACCGCCTAACTCTGGCTAGCCTCGCTCACTCGATCTCGCGAGATCTTCAAAAACCCTCTTCTCTTTTTTCCCGCGACTCCAGTTCGATAAAAATTGCGCCTATGTTCTGGCTTCCTAAATCAGCCCCACCCCTTCCTGCACCCATTCTTGAAGATCCTCCTTCAGCTCCGCCTTACTCCCGGCCGCCTTTGCGCTCGCGCCTGCGCCTGCGCCAACTTCCAGCCGGTGCCGGACCAGAG